ACTCACCAATACTATGTTGAAAATGAACTATTTAAAAAATGCTTGTTAATGCCGGGTGAGGTGGAACAAACTGATAAACTCAGAATTGGGGAAACTGAGGCAACAAGGTCACAGTTTGAGGCCAACTCAGGCTATATAGTGAAACTCTGTCTCAAAAAAATTTGCTTGTTACATTTTTCAAGGTACGGTTAATAAAACTGCCTTATCTGTACAGAGCAGCAGGCAAAACGTAACTAATTCCATTTCCTTCACGCATAGGCAAAATATCAGGCTTCTAATTAGAATCCACTTACATTTATTATAAACCCAGTCCTAACTCTGTGATTTTCCAGTACTGGTTAAAGAAAGGAAGAAGGCTTGTCTAGAAGGCAATGGCAGAAAAGTGGCTACTAAGAGCCTGTGAGCAAACGAGGATTGGGCCCCTGACCCAGTGAATGGTGGCACCTTATTGAGGATGCAGTGTTTAACTGGCAAATACCTGTTTGTGACGGAAACTTCACGGAGTGTTTCTCAAATTTGAGCAAGAGCCAGAATCACCCAAAGGCTTGTTAAACCAGATAACAACATTCCACTCCACCTTCCTGCAGTAGGTCTAAGGTGAGGACCAGTTTGCATTTCTGTAAAGTGCCAGTGACATCAATGCTGCCAGTCTGCTCATGAGAATCAGTGGTCTAAACAGTGGGCCTTAAAGAAAACAACTGCAGAAAGTCCCAGCCAAATTTCACTCTTGATCAGTCACTTCTTGCCTCATGTACTCAAGTGCCTGAAATTTTTTTTCAAAGATGACTTTATGACTTGATCATTTCCACTTGTGGAACCAGCTGAGCTGGCTAGTTATTATCAGATAATAGAGTAAGTAAATATTGTTATAATAAGAGGAGAGATATGGGTATTCGGACTTCCTTGTGAGGGCTGTTCTCAAAACTTGCTCTATCATGGATCTGTATCAATGATTAATATTTAGACCAAAGGCACCATAAGCAAATTCTATATTAGAATACATGTGGGCTTTGCTCCCTTGCCATGCCTCTACTCTCCCCACCCACAAGCTTTATGGAATAAGAAAGTTCCTAAGGCCTCCTATGAATATAACATTAATATAAATCAATTTCAAAATCAATTTCTGAATGATAAGCTCTGATGGTAAATTATTAATTACTGAAAGTATTAATATTAGAAATTTTTACCTGTCATAAGAAGCCCAACACTGCTGTCTTGGAGGAATCTTTCATCTTCTGTCACCTGCCCTAGCCTGATGGCTGGACATGATCTCTTTAGTAATGAGAAAGAAATTAAGCAGTAAAGGAGTTAAGGCAAGATATGTTGAATTGGTATATTGACTATTTTGAGCTGAAATCACTTCTGAAATGATCATTTGCCTGGTCTTTCCCTACATGCAACAAACTGTAAAAATTCTTTTGGGGTGGCAGAACACTTGCATAACATACTCCATCCCCTGGATTTGCATCCCAGAACTGCCACAAAAAAAAAAGAAAAAATAAGACTTTGGGGAGGGGTGTGTGTCTTTTCTATACCAGGGCTAGAAAATAGCTGTGATCATTAGAGACTCATAATTGGGCTTCAGTGAACTTGAGCGAATACTTCAACCCTTATTTTCTACTGTCTTCTACATCCCTCTACATTGTATATTTCTTAGTAACTTCCCTAGAACTTGCTACCTACTCCAGAGATACAGATGTCTTGTCATTCCCTCACAAAGTGATTTGTCTAAAAATTATAAAAGCATCATGTTTTTAGCCATTGCTTTGGATTTCACGTTCTTATGATTCCCCATGCACATGTGAAATTAATACAACCTTTATGTCATTCCTTTGTTAATCAACTCATATTGGTTGGATTTCTAGTTCCATGACTATAAAGGGAGGAAGTTGGATAGGATCTCTCTCTTCCCAAGAGAGGAGGACTTGGATTTTGAACTAGAACTGTTATCGACAGTAAGTTCCTATGGTAGATGAAGAAAACCTATAGCTCCCAGTAAGATTGCGTGAGAGGACACATTACTTTTTGTGAAATTCACATGTCATTGGTGCTAAAAATGTTTCATGTCACATCTCTGCAATCCTGATGCATTTACACTGTGTGATGGTTTATGATCCCACCGGCCTCGGTGGTGTTGTGTCACGGTGTCATCTGCACGAACTCACTGATTCGTTATGGGATGGATCTGTTACTATAATCTCCATGGTCCTCTCAACAAATAATGTTAAAAAAGGAAGCATGATGTTGCCTGAAAACCTTCCCTCAACAAGATCAAGAAAGTCCTAGCATCAAAACTTGTGTCAAGCCGGGCGCTGGTGGCTCACGCCTGTAATCCTAGCTACTCAGGAGGCTGAGATCTGAGGATCGCGGTTCAAAGCCAGCCCGGGCAGGAGAG